GTTACCGTCATTGTGGATATATCAAACATACCACTCACTGCCGAAGAGAAAGCGGCAAATGGCAACATGAGAGCAGATCTATCAGCAGAGATCCAAGCAGATGAGCACGTCGACGCGAGCACCCTCGACAATATCATTGACCCGCCAGATGACTTCCTCAACCACCCCGACTACGACCCAGAGGAGGACTCAAAGTGGATCAAACAATCATATGACCACCGCATATACCGCTGGACATCGCAGTTGTTGGTGAACTCACCTATGATAAAGGTGAGACAAATCATTGAGGTGCACACTGGCGCGGACAGATTTGTGGTGGATAAAGCACAGTCGTACTTACGATTTGAAATTCAATTCGGATCCAAAACATGGAACGCGGAGAAATACTATTTGGATTACAATCATACCCACAAATGGGCACGTGACTTACCAATTTGCAGTGCAGATAGCTTCTTCAAAAAGTTGGTACATTACCTGGGCCCAGAGGTCATCGAGGAGTCGACTACCGGCGTCTTCCAATGGATCTCCAAAGTGTATCAAATCATATTGCTGGACAGTATTGGGGAGCTCCGTGACTTCACAAAAGATGCTATTCATCAGAACCATCCTGCACTCCAGACGTTGCGTGATCTATTTACACATTGCATCGAGACATTCGGCAATCCAGGCTTCCCCGTATGGACGGAGCTGGTGGAAACACCTGCCGCGCCACGTGACCCAGGCGCGGAGCAGGACATTCCCCATGATCCAGGCAGCATTGCATCCGCAGCTCCAGATCAGGAAACCATGGTACGGATCATAGCCGAACAGAAGGGAATCAACCGCGAGGAGGGTGACAACGAGTCCGCCTTGCAGGAAGAGGCTGGCCGTATCCGTACAGAAAACGTATGCCATGGTGATACTGATGACGCGGTCAACGACACGACCGAGCGCGTAGGACTGCCAGGGGAAAGATTGTCTAGGATCGAGATCGAGGGAATGAGCAGATCGATCGCTTCCCGACCGAACGCCGAGATCAACCGCGATGCCATGGATCAGATCGGCCGCAGTCTTGCTCGTGGTCGGGAAACTCGCTGGGGATCTCGTGAGCACCTCACGATTGACGGAGCCCCAGAAGCTATTCAGCATGATATCGCGCGATGTCGGAATTGCGATCGCATCTTATCCCTAGGGATCGTCACAGACGAAGGTACCCTTTGTGACATCTGCTGGCAGTACACTGTTGCCGCAGGTGCTACGGGTAAAAGTACTGCCGTTGAGAGCGACCTGGCATACCTCCAGAAGCTGACCCACTGGATCAAGACGACGCTCTCCCAGGATGACATCACGAGGTACATGAGAGACGGAGCGCAGGTCATCATGACAGGCAAGCGCTCTGTTCCAGGCAATGAGAAATATTTGCTGAGGAGAATGACCAATTCCGCTAGGAAAAGGTATCAGAAGTGGGTCGACTCTGGCTCCCCTCCCGCACACATGTGCAGATTGATGGGCGAGCGAGAAGACGACAGACCTCTATACCATCCATTTGCCAATCTCATTCAGCGCTTTCTCAATGATTTGAAGTTCCACCACCAAATGACAGGCGCTCGTATTAATAAAGGCAAGAATGCCTATACCATTGAGGACTTGCGCGACGCATGTGAAATCCTCGAGACCAGCATCAGGACTGGCCAAGCTGGTCGGAAGAAATGGTGGTTGAACGCAGGCAGACTCGACAGAAGCACGCGGCATGCACGCGGACTTGTCGCGATTGCCCTCCGCAGGCGGGATGGCGCCCGTGAAAAAGTCACGCAGCGCAAGCTTGCCGCGCTTGCTTATGGGTTGATGGGTTCCGCCTTGGGTTCCACTGACCAAAGGGGGGTTGATTCAGGGATGAGAACCGATCCGATCGAACCTGATACACACTCCCAGTACTCCGATGATGCCATGGAGCCACGCATGCCGCGGCACCCGCCGCCGCCGCCGCGCCCCGCTCCTGGCGATGCTGCAGGGTCCAGCGCCTCTGGCGCGCAGGACTACATGCCCGAGAGGCCGCGCGGCACTGCAGCACAGCGGCAAGACAGCGACGACAGCCGCAGACCTACTACACCTCCCCGCGCCAAGAGGGCGCGCATGGCGGATGACTGCGCTACATGGTGGCGCGACGACCTGGAGGGCAGCCAGTGGGGCCCCAGATACTGGAGCTACTACGTCAAATGCTGGATATACATCACGGACAACAACGACGAGTTCGTCTACGCCCGCGACATCCAGTACAATGAGTGGTTCCGCCACTGGATCCCGAGGACTCCCTGGGAGACCTTCAAGACGAGCTACGTGTCGTACGATGGCCTCAGGATGTGGGGCCGCAGGTTGTGCGAGAGGGGCAACGCGTAGTAGAGTCGGCCGCCAGGCCCACCGCTCGAAAGGCTTGAACTTCATTATAATACAAGTTCGCCTTGAGCGGTGGCTATTATATTCTTTTAGGCCACTTCGCTATCTAAGACAAGTGGCCACACATACACGCATATTTTGCGATGACCAATGCAGCCTCCTAAGGAGCAACGCCAACGGGGGTCGCCACATAGAGAATTTATACATATGCAACTTTTTCGTCTTTATCAACGCGACTTTGCGTCTGGCCAGACATTTGCTTTGATATATAGATATGTTTCGTAACACGATCGTGTTCACCAACACGATCTCATAATGCATTTTGTTACCGTTTACTCTTTAGACTCTGCTTACATTGCGTTGATAATGATCTGACGGCCAGCTCTCTACAGACAGCTGGTGGCAACACCTGCCTCGCTTAAGCGAGGCAGATTCTGATGTTGCTTTAACTTGCTCAGATCCTCTTTCTCCGCCCACCCGTGTCTCATTCTTCTCCGCCCTCGAGTGCCGAAGCGTTTTTTGGGGGCGCACCGAGGGGGCACCAAAGCGTGCTTGGCGAAGAAATTGGGACCCTGGGTGTTCCTTCTTACCTTACCCTGCAGCTGAGGCTATACTGATCTTGCGCTCAGCTGCCTGCAGACTTGAGGATTGAAGGAGTAAAAGGGTGACATATTCTTTTCCTCTGTTCCCGAGTCCTACCCTCACGGGCGGGATTCGGGACGGTGTGTGTGTGAATAGAACCCGTGTAATACCCTCATATAATACTCCTTATCCTCACCTCTCCTGCGCCTGGCCGTTTGGCTCAGGTATTGGGACATATCGATCAGACCTTTGATCGTGCAGGAGGGAAAAACATCCATCTATCCCTCCTTCCCTCTACCAACGGATCAGGGGTTCTGTGCCCTTGTACTTCAACCCCATACACAGTCCTGGTTCTCTGGGTGAAGATTCAGCCACGCGCAGAAAGGGGGGTGGGGGGAGGGGGGAAGGCGTCTCAGAGGCATCTCTGCTTCTTAGAAGGCGCAGGCCCTCTCTAGAGATGCAAGGCCGTCGCCCTCTAAGAAGCAGCCCCCTTCTAAGAAGCCTTCCCCCCTCCCCCTACCCCATTGTGCGCGCCGCCAAAAGATGGCGTCGTTACTGGTTTTTGTGCCAACCTCCAAGTTCCTGACCTCTCTCCGTCTCACCTCCGGGCCCCCCTCTTTCCTCCCTCGCCCCTCCCTCGTCCCGAGGAGGAGCAGGTCAGGGGCAATGACACTTGGGGGGAATAAGCTCAGGTCGGCCACGCGCAGAAGGGGGGTAAGGGGGAGGGGGAAAGGCTTCTTAGAAGCACCCCTCCTTCTTGGAAAGGCGCGGGCCGTATCTACAGATGTGAGGCTGGTACCTTCTTAGAATAGCCTCCTTCTAAGAAGCAACCTCCGTCTAAGAAACCTTCCCCCTCCCCCTACCCCCTCGTGCGCGCCGCCAATCAGGGGGGAAACATCGACCTGGAATCGGCGATACGTCGCCGATAGATGGGCGACAGCCCCCCCGATAACGCATCCGCGCGTTCTTGTAGGCTTCGTGCAGTCTGCCACAACCCGCATCTCGTCTCCCTATAGTTTGCCGCATCCTTGTAACAGTCCCATGGTTTTCCTACAGAATGCCTGCCCATCGTGCTCATTAGCATACCTTTCAGGATTTTCGCATTCTTGTCGTCTTCCAGTAGTCTCTGGGTAGTAATCTGCAGTGCGCATCTCATTGTTCTTTAATGCTCGTATGCGCTTCCTGTCGCAGTCGTATCGTATTCCCATTGTATTCAGATCGTACTCCCATCGCATTATTCTGGCCTTACCGTAGTATCGGTACGTCACTCCTGCTATGATTCACATGGGCCTTCCATCGTCTTGTTGTGGTTTGCACTGGCATTATATAGTTTCTATAGTGGGCTTCGTTCATCATGTCATTCACAAAAGTATTGGAAAGTGGAAAGTTTTGAGTAACTATTACCTATTTACCATACTCCTAGTTTCAATAGTAGGCCTCGTTCACCTGGTCATGCTCCTACACCATTCCGAAGGTATTCCCGTGCAGGCTCCGGGAAGCTGGAGGCGAGGGCAGGCACGGAGGGGAAGCCTTCCCCGCTCTGCCGGAGTGCGTCGCGTACGCGTTCCAATGCAAGAGGGGCGCCGCCAGACGCAGTCCTTCTCGTCGTCCTCTTCAGCTTCTTCCTCCTTATTTAATCGCTTCGCTCATTCCGCCGGCCCTGGAGCCCTCTTTAGGGCCTCTTGGGGGCCCCTCGGGGACCTCTTGGGAGTCTCTTGGGGTTCCTTGGCGGCGTCTTTGGGGGCCCCTGCAGCCTCTTGGGGGGCTCTTGGGGACCTCTTGGGTCAGGAGGGGGGAGGAGGAGGAG